ATGTAGATGGTATAATATAAGCAAACCTAATTTTTTTCTGCTTTTAATAAGATATTACATGTATACTTACACTGACTGTTTCTCTATAAAGAACAGCTTCAGACTTTGAAATTTTTGTAATTTTATGAATTTTGTTGCCTATATTCATAATCTTGTGATTTGAGTTAATTTTTACCATTTTAATTCTTGTTTAAAAATAGAATTTTAATTCTCATTTTATTCCTAATTCATCCATTTCGCCTTTTAATTTAGTTATAAAAAATTGACATCTGAAAAATTTCTTTTAGTATTTTAATAGTGCAGTAAAATAATTCTCAGATTGTCATTTATTTTATTTTTAAACTGTCATCACATTTCAACACCAATCAATTAAACACCTTTTTTTATTATAATATCTCGAAATTTTATTTTCTTTTTTTTTTCTAGATTCTTCCTCGGCACTTTATGAGGTTCAGAAGCAGTAATACAAGGTAAAAATTACAATGATAATGAGTCTTCTAAGAAGGTTAGAATACTTAAACATTGTATGACTTTTTGAATATTTATTAAAGGTTATTTTGGAAAGAAACATACAATAAGAATTATTTAATTAATGAATGCTTCTACGGGACGCGACTTCAATTGTGACATTTACAAAGACAAAAAGTTGGGGAAATTTAAGGATATTGTAAAACATTTACGTTTCCATTGATTATTGTTTACTCATTCAGTGAGAACAATTTTTGACCATATCAAAGTGTATTCTAACCAATGCCCACGTCCAACGTAAGTAAAATATTGAGTTTATTGGGTACAAGAGGGGGTGCACTGTATAGGGAATCAAGTTTCACTGGCAGGGAATTCCCCTCCCTCGTCCATTGAAACAATACTTCTGAATTTTTTTTAATTTTTCAAACACTACAATACAGCAAGTAGGCTTTACATGGTTATTATAATCATTCCACTTTCAAACAAGACAACTTCTTTTATTATTTTATTTTTTATTTATTATGAAGATTTTTCTCAATAGTTTCTTTATGATTTTTCATCGTTAAGTATATAAAAGGTTGTACAATATTTATTTCATACCTGGATGTTCATAAGCTTTCATCTTAAATGTAAGATAGAATTTTCAAAGTACCCAAAATAAGATACATACTTAAAAAGTGGTCAAAATCAACTGCTACCGAAAATTTTTACCTATTTATTTAACAATGTATTAATTATTTTTGCAAACCGTTAGATTTTCACAGCGATTGCATATGACATTATTTCAAACATAAGATTCAGATAATTATTACTGTTTAAGATTAATAATGTCCTGAGTTTTTGCTTGCTACCCCAGTGGTTACCAGCTTTTTTTATTAATCTTGACGGACTTGAAAATAGAGGTTTTGATTCCTGCTAACAAAATTTCTGAATGAAACCCATGGGAACGTTTTTTGTCCAATTTTTCAAATAGAAAAGTATCCCTAATCCTGGTAAAAAACAGAATTCATGTTGATAGTCTACTTGAGCTACACGCTACTAATACTGACACAATAAAAATTTAAGAAAAGCAAATATTGTATTTTACATGATTGGAATCCGTACGAGATTGCGACTTCAAGATGTATTCTATCTATGATTATATGTATAACAATACCGTACAGTGTATGATATTAATGAAATGTATTATTTAAGTAAATGTTTAGTTGAATATACTTAAGTGAAAATACCTCAAATGGTGTTAAATTCAACTTACAAACAAAAAAATAACCACATTGAGAATTTATAAACGTAAAAAAAGTAAATTGCCGACGTTATATTAACACACAACTCTCTTTCAAGCTCTAAATCTAACATTTTACGGACTCCTAATCATCTTATCTTTTCCTTCGAAGTTTTTGTTTACGTTTTTTCTGCTTCTAACATATAAGATTTGGACAAGATTAATCATAGCTCATGAAATAAAATATTGTAAGCACTCAAACAGCTTAGTTAGTAAAGCATTTAATTAGTTATTGAAAGACTTAATCTTTAAATTACACTTAAACATGTTATTTTCTCTTATGTGACATTATATCTGAGATTACTATAAATTTAATAAATAGATTTTTTGACAACAATGAAACTATAAAATATTACTTACTATTTAAAAGGTACAACTTTGTTATATCAGAAAGTGGAATTGCATTTTTGTAACCTTTACCAGCAAAATGTAAATTTATACAATATTATGTGCATCGACTGTTTTGTGGTCATTACAGTAGAACAAGTTAGTTATTGTGTTACAATTATCACAGCTCCACAAAAAAAATCGAAAGTCTTAGTGCAGAGACCCGACATACCCTCCTATGTGTAATCGACCACGCTGAATTCGAATCCAAGGTCAATTTTACTCTATCACGTCAGGATTTTTCATAACCTCAAAATTTAAGCCCAAAAACCCCATAACACATAAACCATTTAATGCTTGAGTATCTTAACCCAAGTAACGCTATAACCTTATGATTCGATTATCCCTAAACTCCATTAACCCTAAAACCCTAAAACCCAATGACGCCATAACCTCTAAACCAAATGAGTAACAGAGGTTTGAATCTCTAGTGCTGAGATGTCTGGGTCAATGTTGTGTTCCTCCACGTATAGCGAATCTCCTAATTCGCCAGGCCCCGTAACTACATAATTATTTTAAACAATAACTGTCTGACCCTATTCACTCATAACTAACTAACCCATGAACTCTAAAACGTAAGCTCTAAGCCCGATCAGTAACAGAGTTTTGAGTCTTCAGTGCTAAGATGTCTAAGTCATTGTTGTGTGTCTTGACGTACAGCGAATCTCCCAACTTGTCAGGCCATTTAACTACATAATTGCATAAGACAATAACTGTAGGATCCAATTCACTCATAACACTACAGTTAAACAACCTCAAATCCCAAAGAGTAATAAGCGCGTACGACACTAAGTACAGGAATGTAAGTTTGATGGACTGTTTGACAGTATCAATCTATTTAAGTTTATTTATTCTAATCATTAACTTTTCAAAATAAATCATAACTTTTAGCCCTCTAACCAAATATTTTGTAAACAGAGATACTGGGTTATATAGGGTTATGGGGATGTACAGTTCATATTTTGATAAGTGATAAGGTTACGGTGACTGACGACTTAAGGATTTGGGAGTTATTGCGCTAATTTTTCTGGTTTTTAGGGTTTCATGGTAATCACGTTTTAGGGTTAATGGGCTCGTTAGTTATGAGGTAATACGGTCATACAGTTGATGTTTCAAGCAATTATGTAGTAAAGGGGCCAGGCGAATTAGGAAATTCGCTATACGTGGAGAAACACAACATTGACCTAGACATCTCAGCACTAGAGACTCAAACCTCTGTTACTCATCTGGTTTAGAGGTTATGGCGTCATTGTGTTTTAGGGTTTTGGGGTAAATGGAGTTTAGGGATAATCGAATCATAAGGTTATAGCGTTACTTGGGTTAAGATACTCGGGCATTAAATGGTTTATGTGTTATGGGGTTTTTGGGCTTAAATTTTAAGGTTATGAAAAATCCTGACGTGATAGAGTAAAATTGACCTCAGATTCGAATTCAGTGTGGTCGATTACACAAAGGAGGGTATGTCAGGTCTCTGCACGAAGACTTTCGATTTTTTTTGTAGAGCTGTGTTATGAACGTTTAGCTCACAGCGATGTGGTATCCTTATAAAGTTAGCGTATTATATGTAACAAACTTTAAAATGTTGCTCTCTAAAAACTGATTATAATTAAATTTATTTTTGAACGACAATGAACTCAAAGAAATTCTTAAGTACAAAAGTTATAAAATTAATTTCCTTAAAATCGAGGTGATGTATAAAAATAAGCAAACAAAAGGTTTGTATTTCAACAGGTATACACTTCTTATCCATACAAAAGTATGCTATCACGTGTTAGTTGACTCACAAATACCTGATAGTATTTTTTGTAAATTTTTCATAGTAAATGCAGTTACGTATCAATATGCAGTGTTCACAATCGCTAGTGACTTTTTCCGTTAATCGTACGACACTAAGTACAGGAATGTAAGTTTGATGGACTGTTTGACAGTATCAATCTATTTAAGTTTATTTATTCTAATCATTAACTTTTCAAAATAAATCATAACTTTTAGCCCTCTAACCAAATATTTTGTAAACAGAGATACTGGGTTATATAGGGTTATGGGGATGTACAGTTCATATTTTGATAAGTGATAAGGTTACGGTGACTGACGACTTAAGGATTTGGGAGTTATTGCGCTAATTTTTCTGGTTTTTAGGGTTTCATGGTAATCACGTTTTAGGGTTAATGGGCTCGTTAGTTATGAGGTAATACCCTCAATTACTTGTATAAGTCTTGAAATACTATTACTTAAGAACCCAAAAATAAAGTAACAATCGGTTTTAGTTTGTCTTCTGCTGAAATAATCGAATACATCTCACAACATTCCTATGAGCCATTTAATAAATGAGTGAAACTTCTTTAACGTCGTAAGACTTTTCTCGCTTAGTGCTATGAATACCGAATTGAGCTAGAAAATAAAAATTAACTAACCTTATACATTTAGGTGCTCACATACATAGATATAATGTGTGCTTAAGAACATACTTAATATGTCAAAATACAGAATATTATAAACATCAAATAATGTGTTTTAGTTACTAAAAATTTGGTCAGAAAGAATGGCTTATTATAATGTTTTAACTTTAAATAGTAAAATACTATGTAACGAAAATTTTTGTATGATAAAACAAAATTTGTTTAGAGTTTGACAGTATTGTTACAGATGACAAGTCTTATAAAGAAATTTGTTCATTTTCTTTCTCTATTCTATTAACTACTTTTAATTGTATTAATAACTTATAATACTGTATGAATTAAAATGCATTATTTTTTATATGTGTGAGATGTTAAACTTTCCTTTTAGTTTCTTAAAAGTATAATGAGCCTTAGGTTATTACAACTAAGTTCTAGAAAAAAGTAATTTGCTAAATAAGACTTACCGCTTTTGATCGAGTCTCAGTAGCCCTTAATAAATCAGAGAATGCCCAGCAAAGCTTACGTGCAGCATTTAAGAGTTTATCACCAGAGGAGTTATCTTTTATTAAGGTAGCAATCATTCTCACGCCCTTAGTCAATTCTGGTAAATTTGTTGTTATCGTCGTAATTGCTGATTCTACTGCAGCATAATCAACAGTATCTTGCTGTCCAGTAGTTGATGTAAGCATTTGAGCAGTAGCTGCATTCATTGCAGCTATCTGAGAGCCAATGTTTTGCTTGTGTATATCAACCGTTTCTTCTCTCCAACGCAATGAGGCTAAATCGTTGTTGGTATCTGGAATAGTTGATGTGCAAGATAAGTGGGTCTCAGCATTCTTAATTATTTCTTTCGCTGTAGCTAAAGTAGATACCAAGGCAATTTGTGGTTCTGATGTTACCGTTAAAAATTTAGTCTGCTGCATCTGAAAATAAACAATGTACTTCTTCTAAATATAAAATGAGGGTATCATTAATTAAAATGTTTTATTTGTGTACTAAATTGTTATACTATCTTAGTCAGTAACGTAGCATAATTTGTTTGTACATTATTACATTATTCAAGTATTTTTTTTCAGACCAAATTGCCTAATTTAGGTAAGAAAACGTTTGATTGAACATCGTTAACATAAATAATGTCTTGCGTGAAAGTTCTTGTCACACAGCCCTTAGCATAATATTTTGAAGTTGTTATAATTCAATAATTTACTAGTTGATCTTTTGGGGCAAACTTTGAAATGAAAAACACACAACGCGTTTTCTTTATTCAATACAGCAACGTTTCGTCGACTGGAGTGTCGACCTCTTCAGGCTTTATTAACAAATAAATAACAAATCAGTACAAAACCAACAAATAATAAAAAATGAAACACAAACGCTACAAGTACCTTTATTATAAACACAGAAGGGAAAGATTTAACGTAACGATGTTCATTCGCACGCAAGTCAAATAGGCAAAAGCATCTACATTTCGCAAAATTGTCAATTTATAGTAGAACACACATATTCACACAGATACATCAAGAGGTACATCAGAGATACATAGGTCTTCTTTCTTATTCATATTATTATCATCTGACACTTTATGGAGCATTTCAGAAATCATTTGTTTCTTGTTATTTGGCTCATTGTCCAGTATTTGGATGTCATCCCATTTAAAGGTATGATTGTTAGTAGTTTGATGCAACGATACCACAGATTCAGATTTTTAATTGTTTTTGTGCTCTCTTTTCCTCTCTTGAAGTGCCCTCTTTGTCTCGCCTGTGTATTTTGCAGGGCAGTTGTTGCACGAAATTTCATATACCACATTGGTATTGTCTAACTTTTTTGTTTTGTCTTTACCTTATTGCACAATGTGATTTAATTTTTTCGTTATTTTGGGGATAGTGCTGATTTAGAATTTTTTTTAATATAACTTTGTTTTTTCAAAAATGTTAGGGAAATGAATGGTAAACTAATAAAATCGCAGGTGTCACGTCTTGTGAGTGTACAATTTGACGATTCTGTAGTGTTGATTTTCATAATTCTTTTTTTTATATATTTGTTAATAAAATGTGTAGGATAATCATTTTCGTGCAACATCTGTCTTATAAACTTGATATTATTGCTATGGAATGAACGATCTGACAGTTTTATGGCCCTATCTACTAAGTTATGTATGATATTTATTTTCTGTTGTCTTGTATGGGCTGACATGAAATTTAAAAGTCTATTTCCAGACGTGTCTTTACGATACAAATTCATTTTTAATCTATTGTTTTGTTGAAATAGAGTAAAATCTAAGAAATTAATCTGGCTGTTAGTTTCTATTTCATGAGTAAATTATAAATGTTTGTTATAATTATTAAAGGTTTGGAGAAAAATTTCAATGGTGTTTTTTCTTATAAAAGCTATAGAGTCATGAACATACGTAAAGAAAAAGAGCGGTTCTATGCCGTATTTGTTTTTTAGATTTTTTCAACAAAACTCGATACAATCATCAAGCACCAAGTTTGCAAAAAGAGAAGAGATCGGAGACCCTATGGGTGTGCCAAATATCTGACGATACACCTTTTTGAAAGTGTTCTTTAGCGAATATTGTAGAAACCGTAAGTCTTTTGAAAGAAAACAAAAGACAGCATTAAAGTATTTTTTATAAAAAGTAGTAGCAATATCTAAAGTCGAAATGGCAGCAACACCAGCAATAGCAGTAGTAGAAGTAGAAGTATCTGTAGTAGTAAGTAGAAGCTGTAGTTTTTTTTTTAAGAAAGGGGAAACATGGTATATCTATTTATACCACAGGGTATACCGTAGTGTAGGACTTTGAAAATTTTTTTTAAGACCATAAATACCCAATAATCCCTCCCCCTTACACCAGAGAGGACACCGTATCTTTCAGCATTCCTGACCAATTTTGGTACCAGTTGATAGAGGGGCCAATACTCCCAAGCCCTGAAAAAAACTCAAGATCCCATAGAATCAGCATCCGTATCCAACCCTTGTCTGTAGGCTGCATTTTTGTAAGTACCACTATGACCTTGATGCTTTCCCTAGCTCAAAATTAAACGTACTCAGCACAACGTCTGCCCTCATAAATCTTTTCTCTTTTAAGTAGTCTTGCCTTTTTACTTTTATTTAACTTTAGCTTCTTTTGTGATCTCTCCTAGCGCTTATCTAAGTAGGACATAGTTCCCACTACGAGTTTCTTGTCTCCTATCTTTCAAAGAAAACACCGTGCTGTACCACTGCGATCTTCTTTGCAGTAATTAGTGATTCCACTTTAAAAGCGCAGCTTTGATCTTTCTTTTTATTTGCAGTTGTGTAAAACATGCCACAGGCATTTGCAGTCATGTAAGACCATACCGCAGGCATTGGAAGCATCTCATCAACGTGAGTCTTTTCTTAACATGGCAGGAGACAAACTTAACTTTCATCTTTGTTCTTTAGCGTCCGGTCCAAGGAGCTGAATAATTAAAGCTTAATTTTAGTTTTATGAGCTTCTTTAAGGATTCCTAAATTTTTCCATCTTCGATGATACTGTCTAGATCATAGACTTTAAGCATCTATTTTCGTTAAGTGGTGACCACTTTGACCAGCCACTCACGATTTGACTTGATCTCAGGATTCTGCGACGTCCTTTACAACTAAAGCTCTTCTTTCAATTCTTTTTTTTAATAGTGATACAACTCTGTACCACAATACCAGAATTTGCAGCGTTAAAACCAGCCTTCATCGACGGCTCTACTCCGTCAAAGGTCTTTCTTTCGTTAATTTTGAAAGAGACTTTTGTCGTAGAGCTGGTGTTATTCTTTCTGTTTTTATCTGAAGTACAAAATCCCTGTTTCTAGTTTTTCTGTACTTGTGTACCACTATTTAGGATCTTTACTTTTTTTCCTCTTTAAGTTTCTTGAACTATCCCTCTTTGGTTTGGCAGTTACAAGTTTTCTAGCGCACCTCTTAGCGTTCTTCTCTGAGCTTGGTATTCAAATTCTTGGTATCCAGATCTCTTACAATCTGCCCATATACTTGTAATAAAGTCTCTCTATTTTTAAAAAACTAGCTCTTTCTATTTCACTTTCGTTTAATGATAGAAGCACTTTCCTAGTACCATCCATGATTACTTTTGGGTGAAGGTATCTTACATTGATGTTTTGATTAGCTTTTTGAGTTCTTCTTTGACTTAATTAAAAAAAGCTTTTTTTTTACCTGTCCCTTTTCTCTCTGTCTAAAATCATTAATGTTCTTAAGGTTTCCTTAGGTCTTACTACTAAAAAAATTTAAGTCACTTTTTACACTTGTATTGTTGTCCAAGCTAGTGCAGCTGTCCTTCTATCCTGAACCAGTGGAGCTCGAGAGTAAAAGATGGAGTTTTTTCAGTCCACCCAAAGAATACTTGTAGCCCCTTCCGTCAGAATCCGTGGAGCCTGTGGCAGCTAATCGAGCTTGCACTGGAATAATACAGATCATAAATTTTCTTAGTAGGGTTACCACCTGGAGAACTTATTTTATACCGATGTTTTTCATGGTGGATTTTTTTATGCATCATGCTAATCAGTCAAAGTCAGCACTACTCTTTTTTCAAATAAATAAATCTGAAAACGATATAAATTAGCACAGCAGTTCTCTGCGTTGCCAAGGTGCTATTGGCTGGGGCCAGCTGAAAGTTGCAATTTTCCTTCAGTTTAGCAGGGACTGCTATGGTATTTTATATTTAATGTATTCTGTCAAATGTGTTAAAATAATGTTTGTGTGTAGCAAATGCTTGTTTTGATATTTTCCAAGTACATTAAGTATATAAACAAAAATGACACTAACCAATAACCACAGTGATAGAGCTGCCAGAGAAGGCTGTTGCAAACAGTGTACTAAAAAGTGTTACCATATAGCCTCGTTTGTAGTAGTAAGCCTAGATTAGTCAGCCCACCACACACTTCTTGTTTACGAGACATACAGCTTCATTAGATGCATTTACTTGGTTACGCATACCAGAGAGGGATACTACCACCTGACGTGTACTGAAAAGAACTCGTGTTTCCTCAGACTTAGCACCTGTGTGTTGCCCGTCTTTGTAGGCTGTAATTTTTGCCAGAGCTAGTGTGTGCTTTATGCTTTCTGCCATTGTTAAGTGAATGTATTCAGTGTAGCATGGGTCTACGTAAGCCTTTACTTCTTCTTAATATATTGTTGACTTAGATACGCCCTTATTGGGCTTTTTTTACCTCTTATAGCGCTTTTCTAATCTTCCGGTAACTCCCACTAACAGTTCGTGCTTTTTTTTCACTATTCAGCAGATGAAACACTGTCTTAGACTGTGGCCTTCTTCCTTCTGGTGGTTGACACTTTCACATAAAAAGCTTAACTTAGACGTTTTTTCTTATTTGCAATTACCTAAGACATGTCCGTATCGATAACAACTGTTTCATCTTGTAACTGTAATACTTTTTCCAATTTGACAGCTTACTAAGCCAATTCTTAATCTACTTACATTTCCTGCTTGGTTTGCGGTAGATTTGTTTACTGTTATTAGCATCATACTTTGTCTTCTGGCATCAAATTAAAAAATGCTACTCTAAGATTTCAGTTTTTTATATCCCAAAGTCGTCACATAAGTTTCTCTAATCTTGTCCTCTTTTACAACGGTATCTAGGTCTCAGACTTCTAGTGTTATATTTCTGTTGTTTTCTATCCCCGTTTCTCCAAAAGTAGCCCCATACATTTACCTTTTTGTTGATAAATATATTCCCATATTTCCTGCAAATATTGACCACCATTACACACACATATATACACACACACACACACACATTAGTTTGTTTCTGAAGCTAATGTCTTACTGTAGTTTGCTAATGTAATAAATTTATAAATAAATGACGTACTAACATAAAAGTGTGTGGGTAACTGTCAGAGCCAGTGAAGGTTAGTATGGTGTCAGTAAGATGCCACAAAA